ATGCTCCCTGGAATATTATTCCAGGAATGTCTTGATACAGAGCATCAGACTCCTCAACAGAATCCTGCCAAGTAGTTATATCCACATAGGAAAGGAAATTGTTGGTGATCCTGACCTGGCTTTTGGAGGTACCAGGAGCTCCTGATAAAACAAAGATCTTCAACTGAAGGCTTTATTAAAGTAGCTGAAGGGTCAAACTCAGAAGTGTCTGAACCTGCAGACAGTCATTCCTTCAGAGCAGAGATGCAGGTGCTTGGGAATGTTATTCCCTCCTGTCAGCTTCCCACACAGCTGTGGGCACACATTGTCCAGGCAGCTCACGAAATGCAGAGTTTCCTTCCCACCTGAAGGGAGGCTTTGCTCTCCAACACCTCTCCCAGGGGGCACTGGGTGATCGCAGGCTGGTTCTGCCGGCTCTGCCCGTGTCCTGCTCTCCTTGGAAAGCACCACGGCCGGAAGGATCCAGCTGTTGATCCTGATCTCCGGGACAATCAATAAAATATCATTAAACAGGCATAAAATGTGGGGAATCGATCAATGAAACGCCAGCTCTGTCTGAAAAGAGACACAAACACAGAAGAGCCGCCCCGGGACGGGCGGGCTGGGAACACAAAGTGGAGACTGAAGTGAATGCGAGAGGGATCGGCCCTTGGGGGGCCCCGCCGGCCCCCGGCACTGAAGAGCCGCCTGGGATGGGCCCTGGCGGGGGTCGCCAGAGAAGGGATCGAGGCTGGAACAGAATAAAATACAGAGAATAAACCAAAGTAAAACAAAAAAGCCGTCCCGGGGCAGCCTCCGCCGCCCCGTATGTAAAAGAGCTGCCCCGAGGGACGAGCGAGGAGTGGCGGCCGTGGAATGGTCACCGGGGGTGTGGCGAGGGAGGCGTGAATGGAATCAAAGAGAGAGGAGAGAATTAAATACACTAAAGGAGCCGCCCCGAGTCACAGAAAGAGCTGCCCCGAGGGACCCGCTGTCGGGTGTCGTCAAAGGGTTGCACCGAGGGCAGGGCGAGGAGGGAATAGAATTAAATGTAGAAAATAAAAGGAAGAGAATATAAAGGAGGTCCCACTGCCCCGTATCGAGAAGAGCCGCACCGAGGGACCGGCGGGGCGGCACCGGGCAGGTCGGACGATATTCGGTGTCCCCGAAAAAGTCATCCTCTAAAGAACCCCGTCTCAGCCCCTGACCGGACTGGAACAGCGGGCGCGGCCCGGCCCGGCCCCTCCACCCGCGCCGGGAGCGGCGATGCCCGCGGGCCCGGCCGGGGCCGAGCGGCGGCAGCCGGAGCAGGGGAAGCGGCTGCAGCGGCGGAGACGAGCGGGGTGTTCCCAACCGGGTCCGCTCCGCCCTCGGGCCCCGGGGGGAGATCAGGGGTTGTTCCCAACCGGGTCCACCCCAAGGACCCCCCAGAACCCCCCACCCCCGGGGCTGCAGCGCCCCCAACGGCCTCAGCCAATCAGAAAGCGCCCACACAACTCTGGCCAATCAAAGCGCGCCACGCTGATGACTCATCAGTTGCCGGGAGGACGCGACGCTAAACGGGCCCCGATTTTGCCCTCAGCCAATCAGAGCGCGTCCAAAACCCCCCAAAACGGCCCCGCCCGGCTGGTTTTGGGGTGTCAGCACCTGCCCGGCGCTGGGGATGGAGCGTGTGTGGGGAGCTGGGGCCGTACTGGTGGTA